AAAAAAAAAAAAAAAAAAAAAAAAAAAAAAAAAAAAAAAAAAGAACATAAATGGTAATCACTGAAAATCACCAAAGGTGAAGCAAACAGGAAATTCTTGAACAAAATCTTGTCTGTTTACAATGAGCACACGAAGAGAAACCAAAACGAATCCTGCATGATGGAAACAATGGGTTGCTTCTATGAAGTAAAAGTTACTGTGAGCTGAGGACAAAATTACTTAGGAAGAAGCAAGGAACCCCTTCCCCACTTGCACTGTTGGTAAGCACTGTGACAGACACTGCTGTGTGGGATCTGACTTGCAGCATCAATATCAAAGTTCTCAATCTTGCTGCATGTGTAGAATTTTAAAGAATGAGTAGCTATTCCATGGTGAGTTATACCAGGCTTCCTGGTCTTTTGAGAAAATTCAATTATTCCTTAATAATAGCATTAAGGTTGGATAAATCAGACCGTATCCTGTCTTCATAGATCCTATTTATTCTTTAGGAAACTCTCTTTATGAGGACTTTATTCAAATTCAGTTATTTAATAATTGCTACCTTCCAGAAGAGTGAATGCTTCTTAAAATTCTTTTATGTCATTCATATAAGTCTAATAATGGTTTTCTCAAATTACATTCCAGTTATATGCACTGATCATGCTTTGAATATAAACTAAAAGAATTCACATTATTCTAGACATGACAGTTGCATAGAAAAAATTCCATTTTTCTCCAAAGCTGTAATAGACTGATGAAAAGGAGATACAAACTGCTATGTAATTGATGGTTGCTTTAATAAGGTAGATTCTTGAAAGCCTCACAGAGCAAGCTAATATCAAGGTCCAAACAGAGTTATTAGAATGTGCTCCCATTATTTAAGATAGCTGAAAAATAATGGGCCACAAGAGAGTCTCACACCAATGAGATTCTCACTTAATATGAGACAAAAACAAAATGAAAAGGCCCTACTTGAACTATTAAAATATACCTGATCCTATATATCTGAATAAATTTTGTAAAATTCTGGAACAGATATAGAAACAATCAACAGAGTAGATTCACTGAAGGCCCAGCTAAGGGGAAATGACTTCCTACCTACCTAGGAACAGGAAGTGAATATACCCTGTGTGGAAGTCGGTTCTAATGTCCTTCATGGACCATATCCTTAACTGCAAAGATGTACAGAGAATAGAGCACTAGGAATAAATAGCATCTGTCTGACAGCATTTTGAGGCATGACTTTACAGAAGCAATATAATCTGGAGCCAACAATAACTCCTTCCTCTTAAACTTAAGATAATAAACTTCAGAGGGTAAGTAAAAACTAATATGATACTAGTTTCAACTAATAAGATACTCATCACTAAGTTCTCCTGTATGTTTGTGATGTCCTGTGTATTGATACTGCATGGGAACAGTACACTCCAGTTGAGAATACAGACTCTAGAAACAGACCCTCAGCTAAAAGATCAAAAGTTCAAGGCTTGCCTTTACTACAAAGGGAGTTCAGAGCCACCCTGGAACTTAATGATACCTTTCTCAAATTAAACATTTGAGAAGGACAAGGAAATAATTCAGTGGAAGAGCATATGCTTAGCATTTACAAGATGTTTATATTTGATCTTTAGCATCACACACAAAAAAGAAATTAATGATAAATTCAGTTTATTGGATGCATGGTGGTATATACCTGTACTCTCAGCACTTGGGAGGCTGAGACAGGCTGTCACAAGTTGGAGGCTAGCCTGAGGAACAGAGTGGTTTCAGATCCAAGCAAACCTGAAAATTCCATTGCCCCCAAATAATGTAGACTAAATATTCTAAATATAAAGGCAATATCATTACACTTTTACAACAAATATAACACAAATGAAAGGCCTCCTATCTGCTTTAAAATTGAATAAAATAAGCTTCAAATTTACCTTCTTAAACTAAGAAAACATTTTGCTGGAGAATAAATTAAGTAATTAAAATATTTGCTTAGAGTCTATTGATAAAGAAAAGTGAAACAATGTTCCTGGGCATGTTCCTAGTTATGATTCTTCTTTAAATAGATACATGTATGAGAGGTTCCATGTTTGAGCCCTAAAGAACACTCTAGGAAATTTAATAAATATTGCATCAAAAAGACAATGAAATGGTCTTTGCTACAAAATGCCTCCTAAAGTGGCATTGTTTTTTGTTTTATGTCTCATTTCTGTCTCTGGCCTCTGGCTTGTGTCCATCAAGATAAGTAAGGCACCTTTCATTCACTTCCTGTCAAGGGTCCCAGTCTAAGTTTCAAATGGGATGGATAACTTAAAATCACACCTCTTTAACAAATACATCTCTGAAGTTTTTTTCTCTGTGTGTTTTGTGATGGGTATTTTATTGTTTGTTTGTTTGAAGTTTGATCTCACTCTTCTGGATGTGTTTTCAGCTACTCAGCAAGAGTGCCTGCTTGTGTCTTCAACTAAACTTTGCTGTTTGTTCAGCTGTAAACCACACCAGTAAGAACACATGGCACACTGTCACAGCCACAGAAGGTGACCCAGATTACCCATCACTGCCTTAATGCTAGGGGTCTCACACAAAGGCAGCTGCTCTTTGCTTTGCTTTGCAGTATTGATATTCAGATGCAACAGACACAAATCACATGGCCCCTTTGACAAGCACATACTCTCCCTGTCTTCATTTTAAATGGCTTCAATAGCTACTGTCCTTCATAAACACACAGCTGGGGCCATTCTCCCCTGACTCACCACACTGCCACACACCTAACAAGATTATCTCGGGGGGCAAAACACATCATTCTTGTTTATATTTGGGGAAGTTGGTGAAAATGATATCTTCCTTCATGAAACAGAAGCACACAACTATATGACTATTTCTCTAGTGGTGGGAGGAAGAGGGACAGTTTTCACCATTCTCCTTTGGGAAGTATTGAGACCATCCCTCTGATTATAAAAGCAACTGTAGCAATTCAGAATTATTTAACTGTGAAAACAAATAGCATATGAGAATAAGAGGCAACATAACTTATTAATAACATCATTTTAAGAAAGACCAACTTTATATAAAGTGCCAAAACTAATTCTTGGGTGTGCAAATACAACAAAATACTCTTTCTGCATGGCCCTTTCATTCCGCTTCATGCTCACTACTCAAGAGATAAAACAATTTGAGAATGCAACTACTCCTTAGTGTAAATCACAAAACCTGGACTAAAAGCGCTGACTTCCGTGCACTTGCTAACGATTATAAGAACACTTACACACCCTTTCTTGTAACTACAGGCAAGAGAGCTAAGAAGCCAGGAAGAGAGGCAGAAGTTCAGTAAGTGGGAAGGGCTTACTCTTTATGCAGATGAGCAGTGAGGAACTGAGGTAGAAGACGAGAAGGCAGTCAGTTTTCTTGGGCTTCATGGTCTCAGACAGCACCCTCTGAAGTGCTGCTGATGCTGTCCCCGCTCCGGCCTTTTCTCTGGCTCAGAGAGGAGCAGGTGCATCAGAGACTCTGGATGCCATCCCTGTCCCACGCTTCCACAGCTCCTCCACAGACTTAGATTCAAAAAGCACTGGTGCTTCCTCCCATCTCACTGACACAGGAGGATGGGGTAACCAGTCAAACCTGGGGCAGATTTTTCCAGTCTGGACTGGATTCATGCCCCTTCGGGCATTTCCTACCAGTTTTCTTGCGTTAATGCCTCCTGGAAAGGATCCACTGTGGGATAGGGTCTTGCTCTTAATAGAGAAATTAATTTCTTGTCACAGTCTTAGCACAGGGTTATTCTGATATGGCAACTTTTAAAGAAACACTCTAGAATTCTGTATATTTACATTAGTTTCCAAAACCCAATTTATGGAAAAATAATTTTCTTCTGTTTCTAAACCCTACAATAACAGTTCAGTGGTGCTTTTGGTGTTGATAGGGTAGAAAAATTGTAAGAAAAAAATAAGCTATCACATAAAATGAGTAGAATTATAGAGACTTGGAGGTAGTTTTTCTATTACAAGTGTTTACACTCTGCTCTTGAAATTACATCCTCTGGGATTTCTTGAGTTATTTCTTTGCCATCATTAATTCATGCAAATTAATAGGTACATAACAAACCCTATAGTTAAAAATGGAATGCCTGATTCTGTGATTGGTATCTGCGCTAGTACATGTCTGTGCTTTTTGTATAATAAAAGCTGGCCATGCAGCTTAAAATGCAATTCATATGACTGATTCTGTGTTAATCTTCATAGTTCAGTTAGATGTTTAATGACACAACATCTATTTTGAAGGTTTTATATTTCCTGCCCATCTATAAAGAAACCATGGTATTCTTATAGCTAACTTAATTTTTTTTGGCAATGATATTGCATGACCTCTCTCAGAATATTTTATTTAATAAAGTAGAATTGACTCATTTAAAATTATTTATTTTAATTTTGTGTTGGGACATGTGTCTATAGTCTGAAATACTACGGAGACTGAGGTTGGGTGATCACTTGAGTCTATGAGTTCAAGACTAGGTTGGGCAACATAGCAAGATTTCATCTAAAAGATTATATATGAAATATTTTCTTAGATTTCAGCTCCATGGAGTAGGATGATCATGCTGGTCTGACATAGAGGTTTTCCAGAATGAGATCCTTAGAAAAGACATAGAGACATAGAATGATGACAGAAGGGCATCCTTACGTTTTACTACAACAATAATAATAATAATAATAATAATAATAATAATAATAATATCCTAGGTTTAATAGGGAGACTTTAGGAAAATGGCTGTTATGAAATCAGAAAATAATTCTGGGAATACAGAATGTGTACTCTGTCATTTTCTGGTTTGGGTATTAGGGTGAAAATAGCTTCACAGAAGGAGTTTGGGGGTGCTCCTTTTGATCTTTTGTCTCCTCCTCCTTCTCTTTCCTCTTTCTTCTTCTTGAGTAGTTTACTGTGGATTGTAGATCTTAGAATGTCTAGTAGAATTCTGCTGTGAATCTGTCTGGCCCTGGACCTTTTGTTGTTGTTGTTGGAAGACCTTTTTTTTTTTTTTTTACTATGTTACTTTTTCAATTCCCTCATTTGTTTTGTGTCTATTTAGGGAGTTGACATCTTGGTTTAATTTTTGTAATTTGGCTGCCTCTAGAAAAATCATGCATTTCTTTTAGATTTTTTAGGTTAATGGAGCTCAAGATTTTAAACAGTCCCTTATAATATTCTGAATTTCTTTAATGTCTGTTGTAATTTTTCCTGTTCATTTCTGATTCCATTAATTTGGGTCCTCTCTTTCTTTCTTTTTGTTATTTGGAACAATGGTCTGTCATTTTTGTTTATATTTTCAGGGAACCAGCTTTTAGATTAGTTGGGTTTTTTTTTTGTATTGTTTTCTTTGTTTCTAATTTGTTGATTTTTGCTCTAATTTTTATTATCTCATGCCATCAACTGAGTTTAAATTTGGTTTGTTCTTGTTTTTTCAGGTTTTTTTTTTAGTTGCATCATAAAACCATTTATTTGTGTTCTTTCTGGTATTTTTTAATGTGGGCACTAAGAGTTACACATTTCTCTTATAGGGATGCTTTCACTGTGTCCCAGAGGGTTTGTGTTGTGTCAGTGCTAGTGAAATCAAGGTTATTGGAGGAGAATCCACAACCACTGACTGATTCACTAAACCAGCACAATCCCTAACAACAGCGATCTATAAACATTTGTCCTTAAACCCACAAATGGGAATAGTCTTCACCCCTCACCAAGGAAACATTTGTTTGCAATGGGTGGAGACCACTGCAGAAAACCACAGCCAATCAAAATGCAGAATTATGGAGCAAAGTGCCAGTGGATACATCGACAGAACACTCCCACACCCACAGCTCAGGCAACATTGTGGAAGAGGTGGCAGAAAGATTATGAGAACCAGAAGTCTGGCTGTGAGATTATGTTGCCTAGCAACATCAGAAACTACAACCATAAAGCCTCACCAACATGTCTGCCCAAATGTGAGCTGAACAAGGCTGACATCAGTGAGCACAGCAAACTAGACAGCAAAAATCCTATGATGCCTGGACCCTACACAGAGAACTACAGGCAACTGAGTAAATCTGGAAGTGGGAGACATGGGAAGAGCATACCAATTGGTTGTTCAGTGATAAATAATTAACCCTGAAAAAATATCTACAAGTAACATTATATGGACCCAACAGGTTACAGTTAGGAATATATATATGCATAAGCAAATACATATACACATGCAAGAACAATTAATGAAAAAAGATGACATGAATTTGAAAGAGAGTTGGGAGGGTTACATTGGGAGGGTTTGGGGAAGGAAAGGGAAGGGGGAAATGTTTAAATTAACATAAAAATCTCAAAAATAGACAACATCATCAACAACAACAAAACAGTAAGACATAGGCACAGAAAAAATTTCCTAACTACGTTGGGGAAAAGAAGAATTAAAGCAAAAGAACCAGGGTGATAGATAAGTATGCAAGAACTATTCTAAGACAACATTCCAGTCCCCAATTAGTACTGCTTTGGTAAAAACGTAGGCAGATGTGTAACACTAAGCCTGCAGTTCCTTAATGACTGTAGCTGAGCATCTGGATAACACAGATGATTGACGGGCAGATGAGTCCTTAGTTCTCCAAAGTAAACATTATGCTCCAGTAACCAAGATGCACTGCACTATGGACTCTTCCTTATAATTACTAATGCTCATTTCCAACTTGCATATAAGTGACTGAAACACACTAATGCTTGGTAAGTATTTCTTCTTTGGCTAGGTTCACACTTAAAAGAGATTTCTTCGATTATAAATGACAGGTCCCTTTAACAACAGAAAGAACTCAGCAGAACGGGGTTAGATAGGATGGAACAATGGTGGTACAGGGCCCAAAGACTAAGAATTACATTCACTTGCCTCATGATGATTCCATTGAAATCAATTAACTACAGTGAGTTTTCCTGTCACCTTCCAAGGGGCAGGGGTCAGAGTGGCCAGCCTAGAGAACAGAAGTGTTGCCCTGAACGACAAAATCCAGACGTACAAAGCTACAGGAGGAAAAGTGGTAATTCCTCAGAAGGGTTGAACATGCTCCTGTCAGATCAAAGTTTAGTGGAGCTCACCAATTAGAACAAATGCCCACCACAGAGCTCAAGAAAAAAACCTGCGAATCCATCACAGGCTCCAGCATCCATTACAGCCTTTCAAGTGAAAAAGAATCCACTGCAAAATTATTGTCTATCAAAACATACCTTTTCTACTCATGAGTTCCACAGAATCTGATAAGATTTCTAGAGATATAAATATTACAAATCGTCACATGAGAAAAATAATTATTTGATTTCTCTATTGGTATATGTGGGTTTGTTTTATTAAAACTCTATTAATGCCTTTCGAAATTATTCTATTTTAAAATACATGTAAAATGTTTTTAAAATTTTTTATTTGTGTATTCATGTGGGTGTGGGTACACACATGTGTGTGGGTATATTGGGGGTCAGAGGACAACATCAAGTGTCCTTCCTTAGGAGCAGTCCATTCTTTTGGTTTGTCACTGACCTAGGACTCACCAAGAAGATGAGGCAGACTGGCTAGAGAGCCCTTGACTCTGCCGTCTCACAGCTGAGTTTACAAGAACATGCCACACTGCCTGGCTTATTTCAGCACTGCTTCTGGGTATAGAATCAAGTTGTATTTCTAATAACCAATATCTAGAGTTTTATTAGCAGCTCCGATCCTAATGAATGAATCTATGTCTCTACTCAGACATGAAAAAGGCTGAAGCATTTTTGCTCTCTCAGTGATCATCACCACTAAGAAGTAGGAACAGCAACAGAACCTGAGTCAAGTAGGAGAATCAGCATGAAAAAAAAAAAAGAATTGCACTGTCATAAATCACTGTGACAGTGCTGGGGACAGAGCAGAGACAGTTCTGAGTTGTCACTCTTGACATCAATATCGATTTCTAAAGTCTTTCGTGGGCTAAAACCTTCAGGTTCTTTGGCGTTTAATATCTTTCTGCAATGATTCCATAGAACACGTGTGAGCATCGATCTTGACACTGGAGGATAATGAGCACAGAAAAAAAAAATCCCATGGATGACCCTTGTCCAGAAGCCAGGCTTGCTCTTGCAGGTGAGTGACAGCTGGGTGCATGAACCAGATTTTAGGACCTTAAATCAACACACACGTTGGGACTTTCTTTCTATGAATTATAGCCATAAATCAATTTGTCTAGCCTTCTGTAGAGGAGGAGAAAAGTTGTAGGGATTGAAAGGCTGAAGATCGTAGAGTAGAGCTTCAGGGATCAGACCAATAACTTCCAGAGCACTTTTCCATCAGCATCTTTAGGACACTGGGATTTCTGAGAATGCTGCTGTAGCCAAATGCTTATCACTAGGGAAAAAAACTGTAAACATCTCAGATCTAGATGATTTTTTTAAAACTCTCTGGTTTTATTTGTAAATTTTAATAGAAATTATGAACACAGTCAGCTATCATTCTTTAAAACCTGGATATTTTAATGATGCACTTCGTGAATTTTGGCAGCAATTGGT